TAAAAATACACACTGCCGGTCAACTTAACACACATGCACACACACACCTATATTGTACACACCCACCCAGGAGCAACATGTCTGATATCAATATTATACTTTGTGTACACACACCCTACATCTAGTAGTAAAGAAGAAAGTCCCTTTTTATGGCAATTCTGCAGGCAAAAAAAAACCCCAAAAATCAATACAAAATACTTTGTTGTACAAAACTGCATTTTTACAAGATCAACCGATGTTGTAACATACCCCTCAATAATGCACTACATCCTTACAAGGAAAAAAAGTATAATCAAATCTTTATACAATTGTAAAAAAAAAAAAACCAAACCTGTAAGCTGCTCTGCAACCTTCCTTTACTAAAAGTTAGATACATTACACCATTCTAGCAGCAGATTAATAAATAAGGATTAAATAGTCTATTATACAAAGCCATACCGAATGGCAGATTTAAAACCAAAAAAGCTTTGCAGATGCTTTCACTTCCTACACAAATCTTTTTTTTTATTAAGAATAAGACTCAGTATAAAACAGGGAAACAGCCAGCGCTAGATCTATATCTACAGAATATAACAAATATCCAAGGGAAGTAAAATATTTAACAGTTTATGGCACCTTTACTGCAAAACCATTGTTTTTAAAGGCTCTGTTTCCCTAGAACTAATGAGTAAAGGGCTATTTATCTCATAGCTTTTATTAAGCAAACTCAATATAACCAACCACACAGTGGCAAGAGACAGAACCAGCTGTTCCCAGCTGCAAAAAATTGTATTGATTTCCACCCTAAAACATCATCATTTAGGTGTCAAGAAAAGACAGGGTAAGTCACAGTCCCGCTCGTGCTGAGTTTCCTAACGCTTCTTTGTTCCTCGTGTGGCAAATTCACTCTGTTATTGGCGTTAGGTTACTGCTGCTTAGTAACTATTTTCATGTCCAGCCAAGATGTAGAGATTGCTGTGTGCAGTCGGGTTTTCTGTTGGCCTGCTTTCTAACACTACCACCCTGCAACCAAACACAAACAGCATCCAAAAGGGTTAGCGGCAAAACACGAAGCACGTGGTGTAACTACTGAGGAGGAACAAAGTTGTTGCTCACAGGTTTTGACAGGTTGGAGGGATACAGGTTCTGCTAAATATCTTGGGTATTTATTTTACCCCATGAAATGCAACAGGCTTGGGGAGGAGTGGGGGGAAAAGGACCTGGGGGTGTTGGTTGACAGCAGCTGAGGATGAGCCAGCAGAGTGCCCAGGTGGCCAAGAAGGCCGAGGGCATCCTGGCCTGGATCAGCACTAGTGTGGCCAGTAGGACCAGGGAAGTTCTCTTCCCCCTGTCCTGGGCACTGGTGAGGCTGCAGCTCGAGTGCTGGGTTCAGTGTTGGGCCCCTGAGTCCAAGAAGGACATGGAGGTGCTGGAGCGTGTCCAGAGAAGGGCAACGGAGCTGGGGAAGGGTCTGGAGCACAAGTGTGCTGAGTTCCCTTGTGGCTGAGGGAACTGGGGGTGTTGAGCCTGGAGAAAAGGAGGCTGAGGGGAGACCTTGTGTCTCTGTCCAAGTCCCTTGGAGGAGGGTGGAGAGAGGTGGGGGGGGGGCTTTTCTCACAGGTAACTAGTGACAGAACAAGAGGCAATGGCCTTCAGTGTGCCAAGAGGGGTACAGATTGGATGTCAGGAAATACTTCTTCACTGAAAGGGTTCTCAGGCACTGGAAGGGGCTGCCCCGGGCGGTGGTTGAGTCCCCAACCCTGGAGGTGTTTAAAGGATGGGTAGATGAGGTGCTCAGAGATCTGGTTTAGTAGTGGACAGGTACGGTTGGACTCAGTGATCTCAGAGGTCTTTTCCAACCAGGTGATTCTCTGATTCTTTAAATCAGTGACCTCATTTTCCAGCACTACTGCTAAAAACACTAAAGCAGAAAACACAAGGGACGGAGGACTAGGAGCAGCTTCTTGAACCAGAATCTGCCCCTCAAGCACAGGCACATGCCACGTGTTAGAAACCCCTTCCAAATCAACATCCTCCACCTTAAAAGCTATGTGTCTGCTTCTACAGGTAAGTTATCTCAGAGGCAGTGTTGTGAGGAGATGCAACCCTCCTGTCATCTCTGTTTATACCTCCTACATCTTGTGATAAGCATCAGCCACTAACCTAAATAGTTCTCGTCCCTTCCAAATATTTATCAGCCGCTGGGTTCATAGGGAACACTCAACCATTTCAGCCTTTGTCCTGCTGGATCATGTTCCTTAAGGCTCCTCTGGAAAACCTGCCTCTCCCCACCTTGGCATGCTGACCGCTGTCTTCTACACATCTGTCCCATGCTGAACCCTGACAATCATCTCAGCAGCTGATAAGGTTGGGCCTTTGACCTCTCCTCTCCCTTCCAACTGCACTTCTCTGCACCAGTTCCTAGGACTAGGACTATATCCTCTCATTTTTAAGATTAAACTTCTCTCTGCTTTTTGTTTTCCACCTGCTTTTCAAATAAGCCAAATGTACCACCTGAACTCTCAAAGGGACCTCAGCAAAAGCTCATTTATGCAATAAAATGCCCCCTGTTCTGCTGGGGGTAACAGGGAAGGACATTACCACTGCCTGTCTGCATAAAGGGGATAACAGCCAGAAAAAGCATTGCCAAAGGTTGCACTGGGTTTATTTTTGAGATCTCAGTGGCAAGGATCCTCAATTCTAACTGTGGTGATCAAGTACAGTGGGTCATGGGTAACTCAGATGCAAAGCAGACTTCAGTTCTTTCCTGCACAGTCTACCTCTGCTCTTCAAAAGAGCTGCTGTGCTCTCCCTTGCTTTCTGGACGGGGAATCCAAGAATGTAAACACACTAAATTATGGATTACTTACAGAAAGGAAGCAAGAGCCATGCTTCCCAAAGGCCAAATGAGGGAGCAGATCAGGGATTAGAACTGATTTCTTGACTCATTACTATCCACTTCTACATTTATCACTCTGGCTGTCTAAGAAACCACAAGTACATGTGTCCAAATCCGGAGACTGGGGCAGCTTCTGCCAAGGTCTCAAACCTCGCGGCATCCACACCTCATCCCACCCTCTGCAGCTGAAAGGAATCGTCGGGATGTTATGGGCAATGGGTGAATTCAGATCACTGTGCATTAAAACCTGTATGTGATCTGGTTTGCTCTGCTATTTTCAGACCTCAAGGCCTAGAGCAGTTAAGATTCTTTTTAAGTAACTAGCTGCCAAGATAATTCACCAGTTCACCAGGAAAATCCAAGCCAGAAACAAGGTTTTCCAGAAGTGCACTGGGCACCCTGCTTACCACAAGCCAAAGGCAGCTCTCATCTCTCCCTGTTGTGATCTCCTCACACTTGGGTTTGTGTTCACACCTTGTGGAAAGTGGGGGGAGTCACAGGGGCTCTGAGTAATAATTTTGGACGCAGATGCAATCACTAATTAAATTTTTGGCTACTGCAGGCAGAAACAGTGTTAGTGCCTCCTCCAGGACTGCCTACGGATAGGTCTGTGGTGGGCTGGAAGCCAATTCCAGCTGGAAGCTAGAAAGCTGGTTTAAGTAAAAGAAAAAGTTTCTGTTTCTTCAAGGTGATTACCTGTCTGATCCCAGTAAGCGGAAAACTCTGGTTTCATCTGATATCTCTTGGGTAACCTGTAGAAAAATGGAGACATTCAGGTCCACTTCAGTGGCAAAATGAAATTTATTGGTGGGAGTTGGAAGGAAAAAGAAAAAAAAAAGACCGGTCTCTTAAAAATTTAAATATGATTTAGTGCAAATTACAGGACTGAATCAGATAAATTGAAGCCAAGCAAAAGAGTCTTATTTTAAATACTTTTTACATTGTAGACTGTTATCAGTCTAGATGATTTGGTGGCACAGATGGAGTATGCTGATTGAACCTTGGTCAGCAGAGACTGACCGGCTTTCCCTGCATTTTCACAGAGGATGTCATCAAAAAGGACAGTGCTCTTTAAAAAAGGGATGCTGACAACATGAGTTTTTCATCCAAGATCCAAGAAAGCCAAATGCTGCTTACACCAGATCTGTACTGGCTCTGTGCAGAAACAGTTCAGGAGTCTTTGACTGATATTCTTGGAAACAGAACTGGCTGAAGCAAGTGTGTGAGCTTTACCGAGAGCAACACATGAGGGGGAACTCAGAGAGAGCAACCCAGCAAGCTGAAGCAATGACAACATGGAGCACAAGCATTATCACTCGGGAATCCGAGGGCTGGAGCAGCTCTGCTGTGAGGACAGGCTGAGAGAGTTGGGGCTGTTCAGCCTGGAGAAGAGAAGGCTCCAGGGAGACCTTCTAGTGGCCTCCCAGTACCTGAAGGGGCTACAAGAAAGCTGGGGAGGGACTTTTCATAAGGGCAGTTAATGACAAAACAAGTGGAAATGGGTTTAAGCTGAAAGAGGGGAGGTTTAGATTAGATATTAGGAAGAAGTTTTTCACTGTGAGGGTGGTCAGACACTGGAACAGGTTGGGCAGAGAAGCTGTGGCTGCTCCTCCCTGGAAGTGTTGAAGGCCAGGTTGGATGAGGCTTTGAGCAACCTGGTCTAGTGGAAGGTGTCCCTGCTGCTGGCAGGGGGGTTGGGACTGGATGAGCTTTAAGGTCCCTTCCAACCCAAACCATTCTGGGATTCTGTGATTCTATGAAGTAGCTAGAGGGGCCAAAGGATCAAGTGATAAATAAGGAGCAGGAAGAAATTAAACCTGGAGAGAGACTGAGAGATCACTTACTTCATCTGACTTAAAACTTTTGCCCTGCATGCCATGTTTCCAGAAGGCCAACACACTGTCTTGAAGGCACACTGCAAAGGAGAAACACAAAATCAGACCCAAGCGTGGCTTATCTGAACCAGAGAAACCTGGGGTTCTCACCAGCAGTGATAATGGGAAGCGTGTGGAGAAAGCACATGGTGAGACTTGGACTCCTGGTAGAAGAACCAAACTCCAAAATCACTGTTGAAAAACAGGATTGAAATGACTATTTGGATCTGAGATGCACTTTACTTTTTAAAGTGCAATTCGAAACACAGCACTCAGACATTCCCTGTTTGCCAGGACAAGATAGGCATCTCTGGTTTTTCCTTTTCCCCCTTTCACTTCTATTCTTTGGATCTTTGTTTTCCTAATGATTCTGGAGAAAACACCAGGAAGTGTATAATCATGCTGCCAAGCAAAACACTGTGGGTTGCTGCAAATTACAGATCATTTGAGTTATTATATTTACTTCAAAATAGATGTGAGTATGAAGTCTGCCATTCAGGGCCAAAAAGAGAACACAGAAAGCTACCAGCTCAGAATGATTTCATTAACAGATTGCTGAGAATAATGGATGAAGAGCTTGGTGTTCTTTAAGCACTGTTACAGAAACATATTTTACACCATGTTTTATTTTCCTAAATCCTACTTGCTTTCCTTTACTATTCCTTTGAGTCACATTGTGTATCTGCTCAGCATTAGCCACGTCCTAAATATACAGAACAAAGGCATTCATCAGAATCCTAAGAGCAATGTTTGTCACAACAGTCTGAGATTAATCTTCACCTGCTACTCCCCACTCCACCCTGGAATCAGAAAATGAGGAGTTGTTTAATACCCTGAATTCCCAAAAGACTCCTTGGAGTGTAAAGAACTGTTCACATTATTCAGTATCAGCTGGTAAGTGCAAGACTTGGGGAAAAATGCTTCTGTCTATGAATTCCTTCAGAGTTCAAGGAAAAGGCAATGGTCATGTTATGCATGTGTCAGCAGGAGATATTGTATGGTACAAGTACAGCAGTTAATGAGAACATCAGAATTTAGGGGAAGAATCACAGGCTTGATTAAAAATATCTTCCTTCAGGATGGGTCTGACATGTCTAAATAGAGATGCTCTATAAAAGAATGTACACTGCTTTACCAACTGCTGTTAAAATCCAAAATACCCATGTCAAGAATCTTCTTCTAAAGGGAAGATGCCTGAAGAACCCAGAAATGCAAGTTGTACAGAACCACTAACAAAATCAAGTTGTGTCTTTACTGATGTGTCTTTTGAATCCAGAAAGAAGTTCAGTTCCTGAGATAAAAAATTATTAAACTTAAGGTTAATTAGATACTTCTGAGAGCTTATTACAGCAGAAATACTTGCCTGACAAGTACAATTCAAGCTTTAGAAGTAAGACTGTTGTCCTCTAGTAGTCTAAAGATAGCAGTCTGTCCTCTAAAAATTAGATTCAAATACTATTACCCCGACTGTTAAAAAATGGATGCGCTATCACCTTAAATAAAATCTTACCTTTTAGAGGACTAACAGAAATGTATGTATTAGTAAAACATTTTTTCCTCCCCAAAAGTTTTTCTTAATACTATGGAAATGACCAGAAACTAGTCAGCCTTTTTTTTCCCCCAACTAAATCATGATACATCTCACTTATAAAACAGAAATGGATTTGCACCAGATGGAAATACACACAGATTGGCCACACTATCTGGCAACTGCCTCACTTTCTTCAGCACATCAGTGGAGACAAAGAGACAGCTCACAATATCCTGACACATGCAATTTTTAGCATCAGGCCCCAATGGGTGCACTAGACCAGTCTAGATTATTAAAAATCCTACAACAATCATCCCTTTTAAATTCTTAAGTCCTTGACAGACAACAGAGAAGCAAATCACTTACCCACTGACTCAATGCAGAAATCAAAGCTCAGCTCAGAGGCCAATTTCTTGCTTGACTTCAACTTCCCTTGTAAATTCACAATTTTCACAAATTCTCAAGAAAAAGAGGAAAACAAGTATTAAACCCCACTGCTGAAAAGGATTACTGACGGCTTCAAGTATGAAATACTAATTTCACCTTTCAAGCACAAAGAAATGCCCAAACCCAACATCTACAGTATTTGCTTAAAATGAATCCAAAAGCATTTTTCTCTCAAAATAAATATAGAAAACCTTTTCATACACTTCTTTAGACTCCACTGACAGCCTTCCTGCAAATAACAAACAGCACACAAATGAGAATTCAACACGAAAGTTGGGAATTTAGGCAGACTAAGTCATTGCAAAATTCCCACTGAGGTATTAACCTCTGATGCACGAGAGTCGTGGTTACGGTTACTGGGGATGATGGAGTGTTAGCTATTTGGCCTGCTAGCAGATGCCACAGATGCAAATTAAAGTAAATTTTGAAAATTTCTGACTGGCATCTATTTGAATTCTGATCTATGATGCTGCATTACATTTCATTTTGAAAAGAAACAAGAATAATACACACACGAAGAGGGAAAGCAGAATCACAAGAGTCAAAATGAAAACCCACTCATCTGAACTCTATCTTTTTGGAAATATTACAACACAAATTAGTAATGAAGGGAGAAAAATTAATTTGTGGTAGAGTTAAAAATCAACAATGTGGCAAAACAAGTTTTGCACAAGGTGTAGTAAGTTACCCAAGTGTTACTTACTGTCCAGACAGACTAGCACAGTGTCTCTTTCCAGCTGTGTTACGTGAATGGCATCTAACTGCTGATTGCCTTGTGAAAAAGAAAACAGATTATTTTATATCACATCATAAGACTGACTTCTGCCTTCCCACCTCTCAATCTCTCACCAGCCTTTTCAGTATGCCAGGAGTCTTTTGCAATCTACAGTATGTGTTACTCTTGTAAATTTTTTTAAGGTTATATGATCCCAGAATGTTCTGGCAGAGGAGTACAGGGTCTAAGGACAAACCCATCAGTTCCAGGCAGGTATTTCATATGAAAACACTACTGTTTATTGGCATAAAATACAAGTTCTGCACAGTAAGTCAGCTTCCTTCATGAAGAGGCAAGATAATGAACAAAAGGAATCATCAAGGGAATCTGTGCTCCTAAAAAAATGCTCTATTTCCGTAAATCCACATCTGGAAGGACTATTGTGCTGATATTAAACTAGATTTAATAGTGTTTCTAGTTTTTATTAATGAAGTCCTTGGTACAGCTGCTAAAAAGCAGTATTTAAATTTTTAAAAAGTATACCCAACAAAGCCAGCAGAGAAAAGCATCTGCAATGTATCAACTAGTTTTTGAAGATCAAACAAAATCTTCTACTGAAGACAACAAGCCTCCCCCAAGGGCTGGAGGACAGACAAGAATGCAGTTATGTGAGTCTTTACACAGGAAAGAAGGGGAAGGAGGAGTAACACTGATCCCAGGAAAAAGTATGCGACCACAAATGAGAACCCAATCAGCAGGGTCTGCACTTCTGTTTGAAGACATTTATAAAATAAAAGATGTGTCTAGAACTGAAGTCTTTTAAGAAAGATATTTTATACTGAAGTTAGCAGGTCATCACAAGAAGATCCTGGGATCAGTTTCAATATGCTTTAGGTAGAGAAGCTGCATCATTTTGCCTGGCCTAAAGGGTTTCCCAATGACATCCGAGGAAGGGATATCCAACAGTTACCAGACAATAAAATGGCTCACAAGATGGACCAACAGTCTTACCTGCACCAATTTCTGTAAACCATGAAGAAGCAGAGTTCAAGTTGATTGTCTCAAACTGAACTACCTGATTTGGTTCAGTACCCTTGCTGATAGCTACGCAGACCATTGGGTATTCCTGCTCTGGTATCACTAGCATTTCAAACACATTCAAAGGGCTTGGCAAAGGAAAATCGAAGTGCTGGAAAAAAACATAATAAGGTATTTGTAAAGTTGACTTTTGCCTTGTAAATAAGACAACTAAAATAACATGCACAAAATATAAAAGATATGGCAGAATTTTTCACTGGTACTAAGAGTGCTTTTTTGAGGCCACAGCTCGATTGGTGGGTTCAGTGTTGGGCCCCTGACTCCAAGAAGGACATGGAGGTGCTGGAGCGTGTCCAGAGAAGGGCAACGGAGCTGGGGAAGGGTCTGGAGCACAAGTGTGCTGAGTTCCCTTGTGGCTGAGGGAACTGGGGGGGTTGAGCCTGGAGAAAAGGAGGCTGAGGGGAGACCTTCTGGCTCTGTCCAAGTCCCTTGGAGGAGGGTGGAGAGAGGTGGGGGGGGGTCTGTTCAACCAAGGACCAAGGGACAGGACAAGAGGAAATGGGCTCCAGTTGTGGCCAGGGCAGTTGAGATGGGATATGAGGAAGAATTTCTTTGCTGAAAGGGTTCTGAGGCATTGGAAGGGGTTGCCCAGGGCAGTGGTGGAGTCCCCATCCCTGGAGGGATTGAAGAGTCGTGTAGACACAGTGCTGAGGGACATGGGTTAGTCGGGGACTGGTCAGTGTTGGGTTCATGGTTGGACTCCATGAGCTTAAAGGGCTTCTCCAATCCAGGCAATTCTGGGATTCTGTAAGAGTGATTTTTAAAGACAGCATGAGCTGTGAGCAACATTATGCTGTGCAGGGGTATATGCTGGTCTGGTTTTGCTAGTATTGGGCTTGATCCAACACTTGACTGATTTCAGTCACAAGATTTTCTTAGTCAAAATGTGTCAAGCCAGATTTTAAAGTGCTCAGAACCCAGAAATGGGACTAGACTGGGATGTACTTTCCATTTCAAATTCTGGAAAGGTTATTTTAACAACTGTATAATGATGAAGATTAAATGTTCTAAACTAAAATGAAATACTGACCTTTATTAACATGAATTTCTGCATTGGCTCATACCACTGTAGTAGAACAATTCCAGACTGCAATGCACCACATAGGTACTTATGTCCTGTGTATGGATTTCGTACTATAGAAAATAAACAAACAAAAAAACCCAGAAAACAACCTTTTTTAAGTCCTGGAAGTTCAATGCATACTTGAAAAAATCCTACAGCTATCTTTGCACATAATTTAAGAAATACCATCAGTTTCACACTAATTGCTTTCTGGCTTGCCATTCAAACACCCACAGTGATTAATATTGTGCTACATTCCAGATAAATTCATCTATACTTATAATTAATAACCACTAGCATTCTTTGAGTCCCAGTAAAGAGGCCACATGCTGAGTGGCCAGAAAAGCTGTGACACCTTCTTCCTGGGGCTGTGTAAGCACTGGGAATGAAAGGTCTGGGTCAAAGTGTGATTTATATAAAAAAAAATTCCCAAGCAGGGAAGATGCCTCATAACTTCTTGTGAACTTTGACAGCTAATGCAGTACCATGATAAAGGGTTTGGGGTTTGGTTTTTTTTTAAGCTCAGTTGGATACAAGAGCAGCCTGACTCAGGAATCATTGGTAAATATGCCTGCTGTAAACCCTTTATATGAGCTAAACAGGATATCCGAGCTTGCAACGAGGTACTTTATACTTTGCTTAAGTATTTTTAAGTGTGTAAAGGTACAATTTCACACAGCACTAGGACTAGTTTTCAAAAGGACATGTATTCTGTAGAAAGCCCAAGCCTTTCTGGAAGTCAGTGAAGCTAAAGACAAACCATAGACTCATAGAATGGTTTGGGTTGGAAGGGACCTTAAAGATCATCCAGTTCCAACCCCTAATTAGATCTGGGGTTAGAATCCCTAATCTGTCACTTCACAAGCTTTAACTCTTTTATGTGTACTTAGAACTTGAGTGATGGCTTCACTCCTCCCCAGGCTGATATAATTTTTATTCACATCCAGCCCTTTCTTTGTGGAAAACATTTTTTCAAGTTAGCCTCACTAGAAGTTTGCTCTAGGTCAAACCTTGAGCCAAACTGACAAAGCACAAAGGGTATTTGTGCATGTGCCACAAGGCTGGGATTCTGGAACAAGCATTACAGGCACAGGCAGCTTGCAGGTCACAGGAACTAGTTGGCTTTGGTGGCAGCCTGAAGCCAGTGACCCCAAACATTGACTTGGTCACTCAAGAGCTTCAGCAGCTCTCAAACAAGAGTGTGCAACACCCACCAGCTGTGTGCTGCTGCCATTCTCCAGGTTTTCCCTTTGGGCCTTGCTCTAGACAGCAACATTTCTAGGTTAAGAGCTGATATGAAAAATGCTTTTCCAGTGAGCAGCATAAAGAACCCCACATTAATGAAAAGGAAAGCTTAAGAAATAAGGCAGTCATACTGTTTTCTGAACAATGAAGTAACTGTAAGTTTATTAAAAAGACATGAGTTTAAGATGTGTCATTAATGCCCAATGACAAAGGCCAGGAAAAAAACTGGAAAACTGAACACCTACTCACCTATACAGCATTTGTGGCATCCTTTTGTATCAGGGATCTTTGTCGTTAAGGCAAACTTCCTGGAACAACAATTATGAAAAAATGAATCAACAAGAGATGTTGAAGGCCCTTTGTGCCACCAATTCAACAGCACAAACAGTATTTATGGGAATTTTCACTTGTTAATAACTGTCTCCAAGTGAAAGATTTGTACCTTGGTAATATTTTGTCAGGAAACCTATGGGTTTGAATATGAGCAGCTAATCCTGTTTTTTTGGCTTGTTCAAACAAAGCTATTAAATTATGGGAGTAGAGCTGGAAGGTTTTCCCTGTAAGAGAGAAAAGCACAGTTGACATCACACCCACAGCTCCAGCAGAGATCTGTATATTTTAGAAAAATGTAGGTATGGAAAATTACCTTCTAGAGACACGAAGCGTGTGCATCAGGTATTTCAAGTCCAGTTATGAAGAAAAATAAAACAAGATTACAATAATAAAGGATATTTAGAGAAGAACATGGCATTCAACTCAAAGTTCATTCCAGTAACATTAAAGCAGCTCTGAAAGTTAGTTTTATGTAAATGTTTTTAGAAAGATGTAATTATACAACAACAATTATTTATACCAGGACATTTTCTCTATCTCTAAATCAAACAGAAGTGGTGTTACACAAACCCCTGCATGTTTAAAGGCACAGTGCCTGCATGCCACAGGGCCTTTCTTTCCCATCTAGAATGTCCTATTCCAGGACAACTGCTGAAAAATGTATTTTTTACACAATCAATCTGCTGGATTAGTAGGATTTCACAGCCACTTGATTCTCCTTTAAGTTGAGACTAATTTTGTTTTAGGGTGGATTTATTTTCTGAATCCAGTCCATACCAAAGATGCTGCCAGACTACAACACACTGAGACTGATCACAAACTGCATCTGCATTTTGATAATGCACCTATGTTGATTCTTCTCCTAATTTTGTTCTGACACATGAAATCCATCCACATTCTGACTCTCCTAGCTCAGGGACCAAAGAAGAGGACACTCCTTAGATTCTCTAGACACTTTCAGTCAAATTGCAGCCTTGGCAGAGGCAACTCTTGTTTGACAAATAACAAGCTAACTAAAAATAAATAAATTTAACAAAAAATATGGTGGGACACTGCAAACAACTGGCTCTATTCCTCGTAAACATCCAGTTTTATCTCTGAAAGTCTTCCACAAGAAACAATGCATAATCTTCTACTTCAGTACAATCAAAAGACATTGTACTGAATTATGACTTTAAATGCTTCTCTTTATTTAGAATTTTATTAATCTTCCTTCTATTTATACATACCTGACAAGGACATTAAGGTGTTATTGATAACATACAGCCAGGTGCACTTTCGGGGAAACAACTGAAGAAAGAAAATATTTCCATTAATAGAAACATACAGGAATTTCCAGCTATGGTTTTCTCTACCTGCTCCACCTCCACCACCATTCCCACCTGGATCAACACTGGAGAAAGTCTCAGCTGCAACTCCAGTTTCCCCTTAATTCACTCTTTGGACCCTTGCTTAGCCTTTTTCTCTGAAAGTTTTCATTCCTTCCCTCTTCTACCCTTGAAACTTTCAAAATTCAATTTTTTCTTTCTTTTTTAATTAGCAGCACAGGGAGAACTGCCAAGGCTGGAATACCATGTAGAAAGATACAGCTTGCTCAGGAATGACAGCCAGAGACAGAAAGAGAACATTACTACAGGAATCTACTAAACCCCACAAAAGTCAGAGAGGAAAAAAGCATTAGTATTTTCTGAGCAACCTGAATTACCAGAAAATCCTGTATTTTGTGGGACTTACCTGCCTGGCTATTTGTGTGAACATGCTGCTTTATAAAGAGTTCAAGGAAGGCATTGGGACTTAGGTTTTTTCAGAGGGAAGAAGTGACTCATGGGGCAGTTAGTCTAGATTTGAGAAGATTTTGAAGTTAAGAAGAACCTCTTGACAACCTGAAGGGAATTTTGATAAAAGGGATGAAAAATGACAACATTCAGGAGTCTTAACAAAGGAAGGGATAAGGACAACAGGATAAGTACAAGGATTTTGTTTAAAAAAAACCCCAAAAAAACCAAAACAGACAAGGCTAAATTTATTGAACAGTATTCATAGGTAAGATCCTCCCTCAATAAACAAAAAATTCCAAGAACAATAAAAGAATTAAGCTGTTTCTAAAGGAGACTATTAAAAAAGACAACAGATGACAGGTCCACTGTGCCAAACACACTAGAAGATGCTTGAATCAAGGCTCTACCAAATAATGAATGTATTGGTTCATGCAAATGTCCATCTAACCTAGAATCTGTTTCCAACAGCCACTGTAAAGTGATGTAATTTCTCCTAAAAATGGTGAAAACATCGGAAAAAAAGAATGTAACTAATACTGCACCTAATACTTTGCCAGGGACCAAGTTCAATGGATTTATCCTCCATAAATTTGTCCAGTCTCTGAACTCAGATAACTCCTTAGCATTTGCAGCTCCCATAGCAAAAAGTTTCCAGCCAGTTACCCACTGTTTATTGTTAATTTGGCTCCCACTGGCTTAATTTAACAGCCCTACTGGAAGAGAAGCAGAAGAGTTGTTCCCTATGAAGCATCTCCAAGCCACCCCAATGTTTCTTATTTCTTCAGATATTTCTGATTTCTCCCCCATGCCTTAAGTATCACAAATATGTAATATAGAAAATGGAAACTAGGACACAATGCTAAAGACAAAGAGGCAATCACAAGATAAGCCTGAAGGAAGAAACATAAGAAAGTTTAAGATGCAAATCAAATTACTGATATAAGAGAAGTTGATAAATGTGGTGACTGGGAAAACAAAAGGCCAGGCCCGCTGTTTGGCAGGGAAGAAAAACTACATGATTAACACAGTTAATAGCACTGGGGTAGAAACTGATGCTAGAAGCAGAAAAGAATACGACACACTATTTTAACGAGGTCTACTCATGTCAGCAGGTCCCAATAAAGTTTACTTTAGAGTACTTAAACCCCATGGTCTCAGGATTGATTATCTTCAAGAACTGATGGAGGATGAACACGGATCTCAAGAAGCACCAACACAGTACCTTTGCCAAAAAAAAAAATTAAAAAAGGGTGGTGGGAACTGCAAAATAGTCTGAGTGGCTGGATATCCAGAGTAGCACCCTCAAGAAGCAGCAACACAGTACCTTTGCCAAAAAAAAAAAAATTTAAAAAAGGTGGTGGGAACTGCAAAGTAGTCTGAGTGGCTGGATATCCAGAGTAGCACAGGAACAGGCCACGTACTTTTTAATTCATGTCCAGAGAAGGGCAACGGAGCTGGGGAAGGGTCTGGAGCACACGCGTGATGAGATCCGAGGGAACTGGGGGTGTTGAGCCTGGAGAAAAGGAGGCTGAGGGGAGACCTTGTGGCTCTGTCCAAGTCCCTTGGAGGAGGGTGGAGAGAGGTGGGGGTGGGTCTGTTCAACCAAGGCCCAAGGGCCAGGACAAGAGGAAATGGGCTCCAGTTGTGGCCAGGGCAGTTGAGATGGGATGTGAGGAAGAATTTCTTTGCTGCAAGGGTTCTGAGGCATTGGAAGGGGTTGCCCAGGGCAGTGGTGGAGTCCCCATCCCTGGAGGGATTGAAGAGTCGTGTAGACACAGTGCTGAGGGACATGGGTTAGTCGGGGACTTGTCAGTGTTGGGTTCATGGTTGGACTCCGTGATCTTAAAGGGCTTTTCCAATCGAGGCAGTTCTGGGATTCTGTAATTACCAAGGGACAACAAGAGCAGCTAGTGCAGACTTGTACAGAACAAGCTGTACTTGAACATCTGAATTTCCTTCTTTAGCAGAATAACTGCCCTGCTGGGGGCAGTGAAGCAGCACAGTGTGAAACACACGTGAAGGTCCTTGTCCTGCGTGCCATTTCCATGTGCAAAATAAGAAAATAGGGGGTAGAAGAAATTGCAGAAAGAAAATATACAACTGGTTGGACATAAAACAAGAGTAGCTATCAGCAATTTGAAATCAGAAGTTGGAGAAACAGTTAAAAATGTGCATTTGGTGGGGAGAATTCATGAATGAATAAGAAATTAATAAAAGCAAATAAGGAAACAAGTGGCATGGCAGAAGTGCTGGGGTAAAGCCTCGGGGGTTTGAAGTGGATCACACCTGACCTCTGCCAACTAATGCTCTCACAGAAAAGGAAACTTTCATTTTGGGGTGCACTGAATGTTCTCTCTACCTACCACTGGCATATCTAACCTTTCAATAGGATAGAAAAAAAAGCATGTGGGATAACCCAGAGAAGACCGTTACATTAAATAATTTAGGAAAATGTACAAGGAAAGAGATGGCTTTGACTAACGGAGTAAAGAGAAAATTGAGCTGAGAAGGCCAGGGGGTGTCCAACAGCTGCCACCACAATTTTTAGATATTCATTATAGAAGTAAGTAGTTGTTCCCCACATCTACTGAGGCTACAAAAAGATAAACAACTTCATATTCAACCCTATCCTACTGTATTCAGGTGCACCCTCAGCTCTCTTAACTTAAGGATCAAGGATCTTCTAATTGTATTGAATTCAAAATCCCAACTCTCACCATCAAGCCCTTTATAATCTTCTCTTGCTTCTGTCTGTGTCAAACTTCCCCCCTCCATGACCTTGCTGAACTGCTTCCCCTTTTCTTTTGCTCCTCTTGAATTTTGTACTCTAGCACGATGCTCCCAGAAACAGAGGACCTTCTCCTCTTAAGCACAGATCTCTGTGAGGTGCCCTTTCTGTGAAATCACCCTTCTCTCACTATTACTCACAGATACACCCACCCTGCCACCTCTGCTTTCTGACCTGTGCTGTGTCTCAACTGAACTTAATGCTCTTTATTGGCCTGAAGTGCCTTTGTGAACCGCTTTAGAAACCTCCAGGTACAAATCTCAGTATCAGCATCTGCCAATGCTTCCCTTCCAAGAATACTCTGCTACTCCTGATTCTAAAAAATCAAATGTAACAATACCATGAAGTGGCTTTGGAAAAGGGTTAGAGAGCCCAAGAAAACAGAAGCAAACGCGTATTTATCGGTGGTGATGTCAGCGAAATTAAATGTCAGCTAAATTAATTTAAATGAGGGCTTTGGCAGCAGCCAGTGGAGAAGCAATATGCCATCTAGTGGAGAGCCACTGGAGAGAAAGGGCAGGTAACCAGTTGTCTCCAAGTAAAAGATGTTCATAAAGAACTCCTTTCAAAACAGTGATACATAAGCAGCAACAAAAACATTCGGGTAGGTAGGGGAACTACTCATTTTTGGACTTCCATTGCTGGCTTTGATGTGAATCAGTTTATGCCACAAAGCCTGCTATCCCATCTATCCCCTCTAATATCAAACTTTCTTGCTTTATTATATTCCCAAATCTATTCTGTGTGTTCAATACATCAAAAATCACCTGTTCCATTGTTGCTTCGTGAAGTTCATTCAAATTCAAAGTATAGATACCTTCTTCTGTGCCAAAGATAATGTACTGATCTAAAAAATTCAGAGAAATTGATTATTTCACAAGCTCATTACCACTTCGGCAACAGGCAGGTTTAAAACACAAACCTAAAATAACTTTACCTTTAGTATCTGGATGTATCCACGATGTCGCACAATTAATCTTCAAAGGACAACCATCAAAGACTTTGGAAAAACACGCTCCCATCTGAAAAACACCAAACCTGAAACCTGACACAAGTTTATAGTACAAAGTGTTTATCTTCTGGCATTTGGCCACTTAAGTACACATCTGTACACATTGCTGCTCTCTTATTTCAGACACAAACTTACTCTAATAGGCCTCAATGCAAAACATTTTGATCTTCCCCAAAAGCTACAATGCAGCTTTCCAAACCTTTTCATACACTTTGTATACGTTAAGAAACGCAAAGAGGGATCAGAATATGAACAATTCTAAGCACCTGCTGGGTAAGAACAACATTGAATGCTCATGTAAATGGCAGATGAAGGGAAAACGAGCAGAAATGTTGAAGTAGTAACACCCTCTCACATCACTACCACCTCTCCCGCTTTCTCTTTATTGCCACTGGAGATCAAAACTCACAGAGCCAGTGAAGTCTCCAACCCTTCACATCCAGACTGAATGGTGAAAGGAAGCTTTTAAGAAAAGGAAACAGATCTTGTGGATTCAGTACATGAAAAGTAACTGGTTATGAGATGCAGCACCCCAGATGAGCGGGTGGCTTATTCTAGCATAAACCTGCTGACACTAGAGATGCCACGACAGCAGGCTTCCAACAGCTCCTACTGCAAATGAGATTTCTTACCAGCACCTTCGGTGTTGGTGGTAAACCATTGATGGTTGGCTTCTGTGGGAAAAAAGAAAGATCATAAAATAACTCCCACACACTGATATAAAACTAGCTAGCTAACATGGCAGTGAAACCTGACTGAGAGTCACAGTACTTACAGGAAACTCTCTTTTCTCTTTTTTACGTGGCAATTGAGGCATTTGTCCAGATCCTTCTGTATTTTCTTCAACGAGTTTCAGCATGCCATCCCCATTTCCTGAAAAGAAGCACAGACATATTTTGTAGCTCACCTGACACAGTGAAGTAGAAAATATTCTTTTTAGGAAGAAATTCTTTGCTGTGAGCATGGTGAGACAGTGTCCCAGGTTGGCCAGAGAAGCTGTGACTGCTCCTCCCTGGAAGTGTTGAAGGCCAGGCTGGATGAGGCTTTGAGCAACCTGGTCTAGTGGAAGGTGTCCCTGCTGATGGCAGGGGGGTTGGAACTGGATGAGCTTTAAGTTCCCTTCCAAACCAAACCAGTCTGTGAGTCTATGATATTTTGTTGCCCTGTTCTCCCCTGTGTCTATCAGGAGCAGAGAAATGAGCTCTGAAACTTCCATATACACATCTCAGGTAGCTGAACCCTTCCAGGGACAGCTGGTCATTCTTCTGCGTGCTAAGCTACACAGTAATCAAGGCTTTCCATTACCCAAACAGTTCCTGGGCCAAACATAGGAACAACTGAGAATAAAGCTGTGGCAAGGTCCTTGCAGATGATCCTCCCTGCACATTGTTTTTATGCTACTCCTGCAGGCAAAACAGGAATGGCACTGACTGGCTGAGTGTCCTTGTTTTGGAAGAACATTTCCATGATGGGTCATGGCTCTTATAAGAACGAGCACACACGTAAAAAGGAAAGCTGCACCTCGTGATCAGCTTGAATTCTGAAAAATTATCTACTGAAAATAGCTGACTCTAGAACCGATTTCCTTTTCCAGGATGCCAGACACCTTTAGGAAATGTCATGGATTTACCCAAGTCGCTGTATCTAGCTGTGAGCAATCCAGGGCTACTGATGCTGCTGGTCATACCAACGAGGGAGGAATCGGTCTGGGGTCCACAAACAGGGATGCTTTGTCTCCTGTGAGCTGGGAGGGCTCTGTTCTGTGAGTCTGGGAAATGTTTTATTGTCTGACATTTCTCATCATCTGGGAGGTTTTCCTCAGGATAACTGTTTATTCTTGGCTGCAACAAAACCAAAGAGGTGAAGATTAACTGGGAAATGGCACCTGGAATCATAAACTTCAGGCAAGGTGAATTCAAGTCAGACTGCTTTTACATTAAAAAATAAAAACAGCCTTTGGAAAAAAAAAACAAAAGACATTTGACAGCAGAATAATCTAAGAGGTATTCCTTCTCTGATGGAAAATCACAGCAGCAGGCAGAATGCTGAACAAGAGGACTTCCCAAGCAGCATAGAGGGAAAACACCTACAAGTCACTCTGTCTAGGGCAGAGTACAAGGCCAGGAGTCCCCAGAGGTTGAGACTGCACAGACTACAAGTCAACATAAAATCTGAAGTCCACTAGCAAATGGTATTTAGCAGAACTTCTAACCTACTGACAGCATCAGATGGAAGCACTGCAGGGGCTGCACAAGTGGGGTTTGCCACCTAGAACTCTCAAAACCCACCATCTCTTACCTTAGGAGGTAGCGGAGGTGGCCCTGCTCGCTTTAGTGTTGATCTACAAGGAAAAGGTGCAGCCTCAGTTAAACCAACAACACAAACAGAGTTACTTCAGAAGACAGACTGCAAATAAGACGAGCTAGATGCATAGAAAAGACAGATCACAGCGTTGCATGAACAGGGTTAAACTAGAAGTCCAAGAGCAGGGGAAAAAAAAGCACACTACTCTTGTTAGAAGTGTTGTTTGATAAACTCGTGTTCTTTCATAAATGTCAACGTTACAGAGCGTTCTGTGGTGAAGGGTATTTGAAATGAGCAAATAAATATACGTTCAGGGACTAGTTCTCTGAAGGTGCCCCCTCTTCCACTGCTTGAATTTTCATTTTTGCACTCGTTTTTTTCTAGAAAATTCTTCCCAACAATGAATATGCTGCATTTCTGGATCAGCCAGTAGATCGTGTCACAGAGTAATGTCGTCCCATCGTTTTTCAAGTTTATTTGAAAACAAGTTTATTGGTCATCTACTCACATCACCCCAACTGCAGCTGAACTTCAGGCCAATTGACAAAGAGGTTCACCACCGTTCAGTGCTGTTTGCAGCTTTTGCTCTGGATCAGACAAACGTTTGGGCACCAGAGGAGCTGCACATACCCCACCAGAGCTCTGCAGGAATATCCGCGTGTCCTGTCGCTATCAGACCTGGCTCATGATTGATGGATTAATCAACACAAAATCTGCTTTAGGGTATTAGGCACTTCCATAGGCACGCTAAGATAACCTCAGGAAGGAGAGCAAGGGAAGAAAGCATTGCTTAGTGGACATTCTCCTGACAAGGAGCATGCCTGCAGCATTTTAAGGAAAGAGGTTTTGCCAGAACGCTGCTTGCTTTAGCCAGAGCAAACACAACTGTACACGAAGGAGGTCCACTCACTCTTCAACATCTTCACTCCCATCGACAAACTTTGTAAGCAGTCCCCTAGGTAAAATGTTTATAAAATTAAGAGCTCTGCTCTAAAGTCAACACATGCAACTAAACCCATCGGTGATGTCTTTTAGTTTCATAACAAGCATCTCCCAACCCTTTTCAAAACAAAATATTGCTCTTATTCACTGCATTAAGCCCTTTTTCATTTAGTGTGGTTCTTTCCTTTCCTTCCCCTCAGCCCCTATTGATCATTTAAACTCTCTTCCATACCAGATGCCATCAACTCATCTTTCATTTTCCTACTTGGTATTTTAAAAATTGTTGAAATGCCTAATAACAGTACAATATTAAAAAAAATTTAAAATATGAGAACAGAGGAAGTAACTGGCAGACAAAGGGAGAAAAGCCTTTACAAAGGGAAGTTTCCTCCTTTAGTGTTACATGCTAAAGACACAGACTATTTCCCATCACAGTGGGAGTTTCTGTTTCAAAGCTACCTCAGGGTCAAAAAAGAAACTGTGACTAGAGGATCAAAGCAGCACTGAAAATATCATCCTGAAACAAACAAAAAACAGTAACGCTTTTAAAAATGGCAATTTTCAAGCTGTGTCTTAAAAAAAAAAATTTTAAAAAATTAAAAAAATCAAACTGCATGAAAACCAAAAAAATCTAAACTGCAAATCTAATTAAAATACATTCTCAGCGTGCTGCTGGGATACTGTGAAGCGGAGGCTTCTGCATTTAGCGGTTGTGAAGTGGAAGAGGCAGCTCAGAAGCTGCCCTGTCTCAGTCTTCAACCAGGGACAGGCTTCTGCAGGCTGCAGCAGCCCGGGGCAGTCCAAGTCTCTCTGCCTGCAGAGCAGACACCCCCCTACCCCACCAACTCACACATCTTTCCACGTTCCACCACACAACACCTCACCCAGTGAGGAATCACCGTGGGGGTAACAAACAAGAAAACAAAAGCACATTATACAAAAACTAATCCAGCAAAATCTGGATTGATGTAAAATTTCCCTGCGAGTTACTTCTGAAGGAAAAGTGACAGACAGTTGCCAACATGAACTGCTAAAAAATTTAAAAGATAAAAAGTCCAATCATCAAAAATAGAGAAAATTTATTTTTAAAAAGTTATTTTAAAATGCTACAATAAGAAGGAGAAAAAAAACCCCCAAGAAATAAGTTCCATCACGGGGTGGATCCATCACACACATTCTGGTGTTCCCCTTTCTATCAAGTAATTCCTGAGTCAAAGATACCAATCACCATTCACTCTGATAAAAGCCAAAGGACATGAAAAGCAAAGACCCCCCAGCACATATCCTCTCTACGTCCCTGGCACTGCTCACAGTTGCTGGGACAGAGGAGCTATGCGTTTCCTGTTTATCTTTTCAAACTGGAAGTGGTTTCCAAGTAAGCAGCACAGATTCACCATCCAGAAACTTTATGCCCGTCCTCTTTTCAATATTTAATCTAGGTCTATTTACTCATTTACAGCCCCAGCAATGTTTGCTATGGTTACATTCATTCTGCCTTTAATATACCTGGTATAGAAAATCTTAATAATGCTACAGAAACACAATCTAATCGATAAGTCATTTTGCCAGGAGGAGCTTCCCTCCCTCCCTGCTCTTTGACCCCGTGGATCCCAGCTGTCTGCAGAAAAGCCAGCGTTCATGAAAAAGGCTTTCAATCTGCAGCTCAGCAGGGTCACACAAACAAACCCAGAGAGGAAGGAAAGCAGTTGCTGTCATTACTGGGCAGGGAGAGGCAGAGCCTAGAGAGCAACCCCAAATTTTTACTACAATGAGAGTGAGAACAGAAAAACAGGTTGAACTTAAAAAAGACCCAAACACTGGCAATCTCCAGGACACAGCCAGCTTTCCAGGGGGCTGTCACGTCAGCTGACAGCTTATGCAAGACTTTATCTGCAAAAAAGCCAAAGAAATTCCCCGTCTGCTACTCTGCTCCAAATCAAGATGGGAAACAGGCTCTTTTAGCTCAGCAATTATTGCAACTGAAATACCATCTTTATATGTACATCAGTCCTGAACTTCTGTATTCTTTACTGTCAATTCCAAGACTGCCTTTAAAGGCAGAATGCAGTAGTTTGCAGCAAAAGGAAGCCACATACCTAATAAATTCAGTCCTAACTTGGACAGAGTTGCACTCCCTTGCTGCAGACCTGCTTTATCCCAGGGAAAATCCATTATAGCGTATCTTTACCTAAAACGTTTCACCCAGAACACAACATGATGGTATGACAGATCACTGATCAGACACCCACAGCAGAAGCAGCCGTGCAGTCGTACTGAATTTGGTAAAACTAAATTTTCAGAACTGGCTTCTCCTTCCCTTTCTTGTGAGGACTCGACTTCAGGGCTGCCAATGTGCTTTGCCACAGGATGTCACAACCAGAGCTGCAGCTCAGAAGAGAAGTGCAAGGCCAGCGCTGGATCCTGAACTCAGCCCTTGCAAAGTTACCAGCTTTGCTTCAGAAAATTGACTTGGGCTGTTTTATTTCAGTCAACTGGCCATACATTTAACACTTCACTTTCCATCTATAACTGGGGAGCTACAACAAATTTAAAACAAACTACTATTTGTGGTTAGAAGAGATTAAAAGCCATTCCCCAAGAGAATGATTAACAAACTGCAGGAGGAGGACTGCATATTGGGTAAAATCTTCTTTAACTTTATGAATATTCAAGTGGATTAGGGCTTGATTTTCTACCATAGCTTAATTTTTCTTTCAGAGTGTATTTTCAGAGTAAGTCAGAGAAATAAAAGATGTTTTTAAACTCTGTACTTACTTGCTGCTTCCACCATCAACAAAAGGATTCCAATGCGAAGCAAAGTCAGTGCCAGCTGCCACAACCTGAAGATGAAGAAATATTCAATTTTTTCCCCCCTATCAAATTTTAGTACCTTATTCACAGCGCATGAAGAGGCCTGAGAGATTCCCAAGACCTGTAGAATGGCCCTTAAGCAGTAAAATAAAATTTCAAAGTGAAATAATATTTTACAATCTAATTATAAAGCAGTTGCTTAAAAGATTTCTTCTTCTTCTTAGATTCAGAGTTAAAAGCAGCACCTGGAAATGGTGCAACACGAATATCAAGTGGCAATAAATAATAGGAAAGCAAAAAATTATGGTGAAAACTCAGTAAGGATTTTCCACTCAGGGCACTTCCAAGACAGTTTTCCAACAACAGAATACACTGCAGCCACCTCCAAACTCATAGGAGATGTCATCAGCAGAGGCTGGGAACATTCCTGTCACTAGACATGGCACTAAGGGGACCTGAGGGGATTTGTGTACAGATCTAATCAGTCACATTCAGAAAAGGATGAACTCCTACCTACCTGCTGAGCTGGACTACAGCTGTAAAAAAACAGGAATGGGATTTTTCTGGAGTGCTGAGCACTAATGTCTGCAAATTCAAATTAATGGCAGCTGTTGCTATTCACAACACATTAAAAAATGGAGCTCCTGTGTACACAGGCACATGCTAATCCCAAAGAACATTAATTAGCTGATCTGCAGTAAACTGCTGAGGGCTGGAACAAACAGCAGCAGCTCACAGGGGGCAGAACTGTCTGCATGCGAGCTGGCAGCCTTCCAAGAAACAAGCAGCAAATAAACCCTGATGATGGGAAGATCAGGGACTCGAATGCAGAAGGGCCTCTTCACATTATCAAATTAATTGGCACATGTTGGGTTTTTTTTCAACTCTGCATGACTCCCTGCACAAAGCATAGAGGGCAATTCATTTTCTTAAAAATGTGGCAATTGTCTGGGGACCAAGAGTGGTCTTCTCATGACTTTATATTTCAGAGACCATACTACTTAGATTTGAACCACAAAACAATTAAGACAGTATGATTTTAATAAATGAAGGAAAAACCAAAATTGTCCTTACCACTTCATCCCGAGCTTCTGTTTCTTTCCGTAGAGGGGGCTCAAACTGCAGCTTATCAACTACAAAACATTACATTTTCAAATTTAATACACACAACATTATACTCGTGCCTTTTCAATGCTTACTACAGTGAAATGCACCTTGTAACAGATCTAAATATTATGTACACAACACTGAATTTGCCTGTAAAACATGACCATCACTTCACTATCAGCATTATTGTCTAAATGCTTAAATTTGCAAATATGAAACCCACAAGAAAGAAAGAACAAAAGTGAATACCAAGTCATTATATGAAAGTACACTAAAACTTAACTACATAACCATGTTACTTTTAATGCATGTGAAAGAGAAGAAAGCTTCCTAAAAGTGTGATGTACGTGATGCAGAGGAGCAGACAGCATTAACACTACAAAAAACATCTGTTCAAACCTGGAGAAAGGCTGTTTCTAGCCCCAAAATGTCAACCGAGTTATGTATTAATATTATTTTAAAAGAAAATAAGAAGTTATGTTAAAAGAAAATGCATGATGTTAACATGCACCCTGGTCAGGAGAACTATTGCAACCAGAAGCGCTCCATTAGGGTCAAGAAAAGTTTAACTTATGAACTTGAAACAGTGTTCAGACAAACACAAAATGCTATGGTTTTTTTCTATATTTTCTCATCACACCATGACACCCAATGTACTAATGTAAAAAGATGCCCTCCTAATTATCAACTCACTCTCATTTTTTGATGTTTGCATGTTATTAGTGTTTTTGCACATTTTAAGTAAGGCTGCATGGTCTGACAGAAATTGCAGAGCTGCGAGGCTACGCTGGTCATGCAAGATTTCTACATCAAGATTACGATGCAGCAACGAGATGGAATGAAACAGCAGAAAAATCTGCAAGTTTTAATTTTGTTTTTGGCAAAATATTATTGAAAATTCATGTGTATGTGTGGTTTCTTCTATTTTTGTTTCTCCAATGTGCCAACAGTAGAAGAGACTTTCCAGAGTACACAACAAAAGAACGACATCGACATCCTTCATCGATAGAAGCAAAACCAACACCAGAAAATGGGCCAAGTACCTCAGGAACTTACAGTTTATCTCTGATGCTGTTCGTTCTGCCCTAATATTCCTGTTCGTAGAACGAATCGTGTGGCGGATAATGGAGTGAGGCTGCAAGAGTTATACATGGAGAAGCTGAGAAAAGTCGCGCGGCTTTCTGTCGCGTCTCAATCAACAATCAAACCAACAAGGAGAATTAATAGCTGCTTGGAGTCACACACTGTAACACACACCACCTTTGTCTTAGCCTTGCTCATGCACAGGATCCTTCTAAACACCCCCTCAGCACTTCTGCCACACGGTAATTCTAAAAACAGAGCTCTCAAAATGTCAGGGCAGTGCCCCTGCCAAGCTGCAATCTTAGGCTCCCCAAGCAAAGCAGAGTATTTAAACAGTAGTTTTACCTAAAGACAGAAAAGAAAAGGTGTTCTCACCTCAAAATCATCATCATCAACTTCACTGTAGTGTGTATGGTTGTCAGGATTATTCACTTTGTCCAACAGCTCAACTGCTAAAGATCTTGAAAGACCAGGCTGCCCGACAAAGCTATGCTAGAACCGCAGGAAAAAACAAGTTATAACATGCAACTGATATGCAATTTCCATTAATAAACTTCTGCTACAGAATGCTACTGAATTTTGCCTGCTTTCTGAGGGCTTGAGTAGTTCTTTAACGACTCCTCAATCACTAGACTTTCTAACCCCTCCATAAGCATGGAAATGCTACATTTTTGGCCAACTCTTAATTGGAAATTAAACTCTGAGTCAACCAAACAATTACACCTTAAATGCCATTTTTCAGTAGTTCAGTGAAGTTTAGGAAGACAGAAACAGATACATGAACAACTGCTAAATAAATCCACTTTCTATTTGGGTGACAGGAAGGTTCCACATCTATGCAACCATACCAAGAGGCTGAGACACCCACTTGCAGAAAGGACAGGCTGAAGACAGAGCATGAGGCAAATTCCTGTAATTTTTCATCCCAAGAACTGTCTAAAAATCTGGACACTGAACAAAATCTTGCTACTTCCTACAGCTGACCAGTGTCTCTTTGCTTCCGATTTCACCACCCATCTTGTAAGATGAGAGAAAGAAAATTGTTCCAGTTTGGTTTCCTATTGATCTATTCTTCACTTTGAGGCAAGGGATCTCTTATTGATGTCATTAAATGTTCCAGGTCACTTACAGAAAGGAGTCTGTCTGCTGTCGGTCTCTTCTTTGGATTTTTTGTAAGTGCTATTTTGACAAAATTATGGAATGTTGATGACCTTAAAGAAAAATTAGATTTTATGTTTATTTTTTCAAGAAGCTACTTTTCATTTTAACACAGTTACTAAACAAATTACGAAAGGGTGTACCAAATTAGAATGTTGTCCAAAGTATCTCATCTCAGTTTGAATAATTACATTTCCAAGATAACAAAATAGGAAAAAAAACGTTTGATTAATGGAACTTGCATGGAAAACGTTTTGGTATAGAAAATAAACCAAGCATGTATGGTGCTATTTCAACTTTTTCCAGTCTCAATTTTTACGAAACTAGAAATCAGGAATAAAAATTGTGAATTATGCACCCAGGCAGCCCTCAAAATCTAGGCAAACTTACAAATTTCACTGAACTTGGCTGCAGGTAGGAAAATACAATACAAAGTTCTAGACAAAGACTCAGCTTACTCTTTAAAATGCTTTGTTGCTGTTTTTAGAACAACTTAGGTGATTGTGTCATGTAGAATCACACAGAATCACAGAATGTCAGGG